TCTCTATCGAATGGTATATAATAGTTGGAGTTTTGTTTGAATATGATAGGAAAAGTTTTTTACGAAAGCGGAGATGGGTCGATTTTCCCATAGAAAGCCATAGGAAGAAATTAGTATTTTTGCAATAACTCAGGAATGGTTCGGCCAATTCTACCCATCTTCGAACTCGACCGAGACATTGTTAAGACTGAACTGTACAGAAAATTTCATCGCGATCGGACTCTCCTTTCGAAAGTTATCGTGTTAACGGCCGGACGGACATACTGACCGATTCTAGAGTGTACTCACTTTTTGAGTACACAAAAATCAATTGCAACTCTTTAAACCATAACTAAAATTTACCTCTATTAAACCAATTGTTATTGTATATTGTTTTTTTGGAAATCTGTTTTTTATGAGTGACTTGACTATACTTTAAATATTACGAAGACTACATCATATACTTCGACATCAAATACATATTGTAATGAATCGACAACAGAATTCACACGTGAAGAAGAAAAATAAACTACACATTGATGGAACATTTGAAATATTAATAGAATCACTCTATTACACACTTTGAATAATTTTGTTGTGTTTGATTTTCAGCGAATTGTTCAATTTGTTTTACTAAATAGGAATTTATGGCATTATCAGTATTGTAAGCTCATTTTCATTCAATAAAACGACGAGTTATACATCTGTGCCATAAACAATATTTGAAACGAACTCCTATAATGAGTTTTATTTACTAAATTTGTATTTAGTACATTTTTTTCAAATAAAATTTCTTTGTCTAGAAAACATATTGAATACTTTACATTTATCTTCGCTGTCATTTTCATCAAATTCAATTAGAATTTGTCGGCTTTGCTTCAATTATTAATTGTCTCCATATACTATCTTTTAAATTATATTCAAGTAGTGAGTTTCCATGTGTATTTGACCAATCTTCTGAAAAGCGTTCTGGTGGCTTCGACTGTCTAGCTTGCTTGATACCGCTCATTTTCCACTGACATTTATTAAAGCCCAATTTTAACGTGTCAACATACTTTGCACACATTGGACATTTGGCATTAGATGAATCACTATCTGTGACAACATCAAATTTTCTGAAACCTATAGGAATAACCACTTCTTTCTCGTAGGCTTTACAATTAGAATTCTTGCATTTGCCAAGAAGAGAAATTCCAGGTTTTACACGACGCCAAGGAAGTTCGTCAGGAAGTTTGAGAAGTTTGTGTGGAGGTTCGATTTCATCAAGTCGAATCATGCGTAATCCATCTTGAGAATTGTAACAAGTACCCACTCGTAAATATCGACCTGGCAACAATATAATTTCCTTCTCAGTAGGAAAATACGTATGATTTTTTATGCATCTACCATCAAGACATTTAATGTGAAACATTGTTCGAATACCATTCGTACCACAAAATTGATCAGACTCAAGAACGCCTAAAGAATCTGAACATGAACTAAAACCCCACCAAATTTGGTCGGTGCCGGGTGGATATTCATTCTTCAAATCTTTTTTAACACCACGATAAATAACATCATTGATAGAAGGAAGTTGTATAAGTGCACCAATAAATAATCTCAAATAAGGAAACCATGGTTTTAACAACTCGCGATTTCTCATGCGTAGAGTTTTATTTAGAATAAAATAGAGACTTTCTTCAATGGGAATCCATTCAAAAGTGTAGAGCATAATCGAACCAGATTCATCTGGTGATAAACCATCAGCAGGATTTTTGCATCGCTCTTTCACCACCCATACCTTCGTTAATAGACTGTCTCTATCAAATAAATGAATAATTGGCTTCATTGCTTCTTCCAATGACACTAAAGGTACATCTTGATATCCTTCAATAGGTAACATAACGTGAAGAGGTTCATTTTGAAGATCATTTATTCTTGAGAACATATTACTAAAAGAATGTTGAATGGTAATAAATCTAAAAATTGTTTAAACGAAATTTTTCAGTCAGATACTCATGCTTTGGAGAGTTCACAATTATGTTAAGTTGACTATGCTACTGCATGTGTTGAGCGACAGTAATGAAATGAAAATGTTGTAGGAAGAAAAAAAAAGAAAAATTTCAGTTGCAGATTGGTGACAAAAACTTCAAAACAAAAACTCTTATCAATGCATGTGGTTGTAAGAGAAAAGAAAAAACTAATCAAGTGACGTTGACAAACTGATAAAAAAAGCAATGTAAAAGAACGATAAAAACGTATGCTATTACATGATTATTATTCCCATCAAAGTGATCTTATTATTGTATCGTTCGATAACATAACTATTTGTCTTCACTGATGAATAACAGAAGTTATAAGCAGGAATACAATGTCTACGATGTCGTATAACAAAAAAAGTGTTTGCCTCATTTATATCTATACGATCCAATAATTGTTGATTCTTGTCTCAATGATTTTTTGACGTATAAGAAACCATTCAAAATATAAAAAAGAAAAAGAAAAAGAATGATTCATCCTAAAAAATATCTTGACTGATCATTTACTTAAGTTTCTCATATAGCGACTTTTATCGAAATATTAAACCAAGGTATTTTTTTGAGTGTACTTTTACTTATTGTGGACACTATCTGCATCATACGTTCGTCATGACTTATTCGTGGTGTTGTTCGACATGTATTCATAAGGTGTTGTGTACAAAGCCTCAATACTACCGGTCGTGGAGGAACATTAGACAAGTCACTACTCGCTATTTGTGTCGGATTATCCGTCTGATAATATGCTGACCACATTGCGACATATGCTTGCTCTTGTTGTTAGGTAGTGTGTATGGGGAGCTCAAGAACTCTGCTTTAGGCTGATTTTCTGTTCAGGACTATACCTAGTGTTAGTTGTATAAAAGATACCAGACTATTGACTCTGTCGCTAGACAACACTTTATATCGCCCGATAGCTGAAAGACAGGAGTAGTCTTCTTCTTCTTCTTCTTCTTCTTAATTATACTCGATGAGATTTAATATTGAACATTGTTGTATCTATTGATCTGATCATTAGAACAATATTTTAGTATTAATACCGAAGTTATTAGTCAAGTATTGACATTGATATTGGCTTGCCAATTTTCAAGGACGTGCCTAAATAGACAGACTAACTTTCCTAACAATCTCATAATTACTCCGTATACATTCTTCACACTATATAAACTTTGTGACGGTAAAACTGTTTCACTCACTTTTTTATGATCATAACAATTTTAGGCTTTTTTTATCGATGGTTAAAGCACACACATTATAATGAAATTAAGCTTCAACTATCATTGTTAACTCTTTAGGCACCATCCATGTAATCAGTTTTAGACTCTAAACATGCCCATGAGCATTTATAAGCTATATAACTTGACGCACTTGAACACATACAGAATAGAACATTTTCGAGAGTCTAAACGAGTTTACAGTTAGCAAACGCGTGTAAAGTCCTCTATGTTGAAGATGGATTAAGATGCGCTTACGGATTTTCTGACGTTTCGATGCGGTTTTGAGATAAACGCGTATACTTTTTCCTCCAGAAAGAATTAAAAAATAATCATCACTGTGTTGGAATCGAACGGACGCACCATAGCAAGCTAGGATGT